ATTTCCAAGACTTCTTTCACTTGTATTCTGTTTTTAAAATATTGTAGTTTTAGTTCACAGATAAAATATCACATTTTCTGAGAACATGTATGGAGATATATATATGTTTTTTGTTAGCACCAAAATTTGTTTGTTTTTTTTTTTTTTTGCTGTTTTTAATTTATTTTTTTTCTCTTGTTCATATAAACAGTTTTCTTCATAATTTTGGGTATTTTTGTCAATCTCATATGTATTTGGCCACAAAAGACTCTAAAAGCCCTGTTTGTGGTGAGGCATGAAAGTGATAGGTTTCACCAGCACAGGGTCATTTGGCAAAATATTTGTTACCTTATTAATGATTTAAAGCTTAAATAAGTAACAAATAGCTGATGGGACAGTATTCATAGGTAGACCACATTTTGAGAAGGCTATAGCAGAGTATAGTCAGGGACAAGCCTATTAATGATCAGTTGAAAATTATACACAACAGAAGGGTCAAATCTCCAGGACCCTTGCTTTACTCCATTTGGCCACACAGATATGATGTTTTATAGCCAATATTGTCTCCTATAAGTAGAAGCATGGAGAATTTTTATCTGAAGGAATTAATGGGAGACTGTGAGGTAGAAGGAGTGGGCAGGAGATGGGCAAAGGAAAATATGTGTCGACTACAAATTGAGAGCCCGGAGGATAAGAAAGATGTGAAATTAAAAGCATTAAAAAAAAAAAAAAAAGACCCTTTCCCAACCTGCTTTCTTCTGCAGAAGACTATAGAGAATTCTTCCCCAGAGAAACTAAACAACCACAGAGAAACGGGTGGTACTTCTTAGGTGGTTTCTTGTCCATCCCCTTTTATAGCATCTTTTTGCTGATGACTTTAGGTTTTTCCTTGGATTACTATAGGAGCCATCCAAGTGAGTCTGTGGCCCTAGTAGTTTCATGTCCAGTTCAGCCTTTCATTGTTTCTAGAGCGATCTTAAAATTGAGTTTTCATTTTAACAGTGTGCTATTTACTTTTGATAGCTCCAAGACACTTTCAATGTGTAATTTAAATTTGTCATTGAAATCAGTCTTTTACTATTACCACAGCCCTCCACTTATCCTTCTAACAAAACAAGCTATTTGTAATTTCCAAAGACATCTGCTCACCACCTTCTTTGCCCTTGTAGATGTTATACCTTCTGCCAGAATTTTTCTTCTGTTGATCTGTTTCTCCTTATCCAGGCTTTCCTCCCATAACAATAACTAACATTTATTGAGTTATCTCGTTTTTGATAACTCTATAGGCACTCAATGATGGGGGGATTCTACTATCTTCATTTTACGTATAAAGAAATTTGAGGTATAAGTAGGTTAGATAACTTGCCTTCAGTCACATTACTATTTTTTCCCCCAGTGCTGTGGATCAAACCTAGGACCTCAGGCATTCATTTTAGGCAGGTGCTCCACCACTGAGCTACACCTACAGGCCCACTCAGGTCACTGTTAAGTGACAGATTCACAATCTGTCTTCCAATTTTTTAACTACAACAATATGATTTCCCTTTTCACTCTAGCTAGGTTCTGTTTTTGTACTTATTTGTAGTATGCCATGCTTGATGCCAAATGCAGGTTATTAAATCATGTTCTTACTCTAAGGTGCTTTTAATCTCTATTCCAATTCTACCTTCCTTAAATTTCCCATAGCAACTTTTGTTGTACCAGCTACCTGGAGAGTCATTTCTGTCTGCAGTTCAAATGTACTATTATGTGAGTTTATAATCCTAATTAGACTGTATGCTCCAGAAAGCCAGGACTTTAAAAAATACCTCCCAGCATATTATAAATTGTTACATTCACAATAGATAGCCAGTAAATTCTTGTTCAATAGGGAGTGACTCATATTTTTTTATGAAATGGTGTATATCATACATTAAGGACTCAAGAGCCAGAGATAAAGATTATTAGCCCAACCCCTTAATATTAGTGATGAATAACTGAGGCTTGCAATTGAATAAAATTATTTACTCAATAATAAATAAAATAATATGCCAACTAAGAGACAGCAGATGCTTCCTGATTTCCAAAGGTGATCCATGCAATTATGTGACGGTCAAATAAAATATGGAATTACATTGTAGTACTCTCTTATCTAACCAGTAGTTTTTATACATTAAAATCCGTATGAAGCTGTTCTGTATTATTTTGTCAAATTGGAAGTAGATTAATTAGGTTCTAGAATCACAAACATGCACATATATCAAGATTACAAAAAAACTTCTGGTTTCTTTCTGTTTTTCTGCTTTATGGATGCTGTAGGTAGGATGAAATCAGGGTGGTTATGTTTTTTAAAGGAAAAGAAGGATTGGGTAGCTGCTTTGTTAACTTTGCATTTGTAATTGTGAAATATTCACATCTGATATTATTACAGTCTTAACACTATATCTCATTTTCTATACATCTACATAGAATATTGCCAATTCTGTTATACTTTTATGAGTTTTCTGAAGGCAGTGTTTTCAAAAGAGCCATTCTCTAATATTCCAGACAGAAATATCACAGAAAAATCCAAACATGTTTAGGAAAGGAGCTTATTTTGAAAGTAACATGGTTCTGAGAATAAATTGGTCTGATAGCAAATTTCAAGTATGCCTAAGAAGATCCAGTAAATTTTGGTAGGCACCCACACAAATTTCATCCATAGTTTTCTGACACAATTTACAGAACAGGAATCCTGGGACTATGTGCCAATTACAGTTCTGGGGCTGGCGATACACCAGTGAATAAAGCAGAGTTTTGAGGATAGTCATATTATCTAACTTAGATTCTTAGAAGGGTAATTGCTGCATTGAGATAGATAAAGAGTAGTTGAAGAGTGGAAAGATGGAAATCAGTAACCATTGCAGTAAACCGAGAAGAACATGCCAATGGCTTGGCATGGAGTATTGGTAGCTTTGGAGACAATGAAAATTTATAAGAGTCATGTTATATTTTGATGTTGTAGGCCCCCCCAAATTTCTTGTGTATTGATTATGGGGTATGGTAGAAAACAAAGTTTGGATCTTAAAATGAGGAAAATTGCAAAGGAAAAATCTTAACATGGAAAGGAGAATTCAGTGGAGAGGTCTTAAGTTAAAAGTAAATGTCAGTCTGGAAATTGTCACGCATGGGAATTGTCATCACATGAGTGGTATTTCAAGCCATGGAATTGATAAGTTCACCAAAGAGATGAATATAGAAAAAAGGTAAGATGATTTTTTTATATGTCTAGAGAATGAGGATCCAAGAAAAAACTAAAAGGAGCAGTCACTGAAATAAAAGGACTAAAAAAGTATGGAAGACTTGTTAAAACCAAACTCTCTCAAACTATACATACAGTGTTACCCTGTATCACATTTATGGCTTATTTTCATTTAAAAAAATATATCTTGAGGGGAATGGTCAACTATATTATATGTTGCTGATAGATGGAGAAGTTGAAAACTAAAATGGACAGTTTAATAACATGGAAGCTATTGATGGACCCTAACAACAGTAAAAACCTTTAAATGGGATAAGAAAAAAAATTGGGGAGGAGAGGAAGGGAGACCAAGTATAAAGAAATCTGCAGGTGCCTTATTTTGAAGGAGAAGAGAAATGGGATGGTAGTTAAATTTAGGAATGTGTTTATGGAATGAAGCAGTAAAAATAAAATTGCAATGCACTCAGTGACAGGAATATAGGGATCTGCATCTACTTTAGGATCTGTTTAATGTGAATCCTTTGTTCTTTTTGATAGAGCTTTCTAGATCTGTCAAGTAAATATTCATTCATCTGTTGATTAATGGGTATCACCTTTAAGTAGTGCTAGAGAATTGGTAAGAAATACACAATCTCTGTTCTTAGGAAGTTTTTATCTAGTTGGATAAATGGAAAAAACATAACACAACTTGAACAAGTTCAAATTATAGACAGTAAAAAGTTCTCACTGTGTGATAACTGCACAAAAATTTGACTACAGTACATAATGCAAAGGAGGTAAGATACCAGGTTTTCTGAGAAGGATGTGAATCAAGTATTTATAAACCTTGAAGAGTAAGAGAATTTGAATTGAGACAGGTAACCTGGTGAACCAATTAACATATAGTGGATTGTGGGGGAGGGGAACCCTAAGGGCTAGAAGAAATAATTTTAATATTGTCAGTTTTAATCCACACATTATACCTTTGCTAAATCTATATTAGTTTCTGCTTGAAATGGCAATGGAATAATTTGTAGGAGTCTAAAAAGATGGAAATATTTACTGTAGAATGATAGGTATTTTCAGTTGTACACACTTAAGTGTGAACACAAGGAATGAAGCAAAACTGATGCAAGATATATGGGCAGCCCATCTGTACAATAATTGCCATCTGACAACTCCAATCATGGAATATAGTGCCCTGCTAAATCTGAAAGAGCAAGACTTGAGTCTAGATTTGCCATCCTTTTCCTGACCTCCACCCAGCTCCAATTAAATTTCTCCTCTTTTCAGCATTTCCCCATAATCAATCGAGTGAGCTGCTTCCACAGTTGGGGGACACTATGGAAGAGCTTCCTACTTGGGGAGTTCTGCAGCAAGATGAAAAAAATCCTGACACGGCTCTTTCCAGCAGTATTCTCAAAACAAGGAACGTTAACACCTCACGACAGTTTCCTAGTTGGAAAAAACCGGATTGTGTCCGTGCTATCTTTTTGTTTCTAAACAATGGTTGTGAAATCGGATGAAATACACAAGATAACACGGACACAATCCGGGTTTTTCCGCTCAGGTGTACACCGCCTTCAAAACACTCGTTTTCTCTGATAGCCTAATCTCACAATTTTATCTACGCTTGTTGAACTACTTAAAATATCCCACACCGCCATTCTGGTCCCAAACATCTTGGACTCTTTGGAACTGCCACAGAAAAACTCAGGAAGAGCTCACGGGAAGTAACCAGCCGGCCGACCAGCTTGGGCGGAGGCAGCCGGAACGCGCCTATCCCTTTCCTCCGCTCTCTATGGTTAGGCGTAAAGCCCCGCCTCTGCACCGACCGATTTCTATTCTTCGACGCCTGCGCCAGGCGAGGAGGTAGTTCCGGTTCCGGCGTGGTTAATTTCGTTCTTGGCGTTCAGTTGTCGCGGTTGGTGGGCAGTAAGGGAGGCAAGATGCTGCGGAATCTGCTGGTAAGTAGCTGCTCGGTTTGCTTTAGTAATGAGCATGGGAGCCGAGAGTGGAGGCCGAGGGACTGTGACCCAAACTCTCCTGGAAGTGGAGCAGAAGACGTCTTCTGAAGTCACCTTGGTCCGTGTCCTTTTCGCCCGACCTTTTTCCCCATTCGTTCCTTCCCTTAGCCCATGGCCGTTGCTGGGTGCGGAGGGAAGAGGCTGAGAAGCTGGACAGAATTGCGGGTTAGACCACCTTGGGTTCTTAGCCACTGCTTCTAATGAATGGGTCACTGAAGAGGTTGTAGCTGATGTGAGTAAAATCAAGGTTCCTGGTGAAAAACTTCTGACAACGGGAAACACTAGGGTTCTTCTGCTACTAAAGGTTATAAATTTCAATGATTCTGAGCTTACGAGCTCCAGAGGCTATTTTAAAAACTTAAGTCATCCGGTTTTGGATAGGACTTTGGGAAGCAGTCCCTTCCGGCGGTTCTGCGTTGCCCCCCAGGCCTCTATCTTCCGACTTTGAGTATATGAAATGTTTTCCAAAAATTTGAAAAAATAGCAATGATCATTTTCTTTTGTAGTTATTTAACCGTGTCTTACTTAGCTTCTCAATACCATTTATTTTAGAAAGTGGAATACATGTTTATTTCGTTATTTAAACTAAGTATGTAATGCAAGTTTTTTTGCGGGGTGGTGGAAGGATTGTGCCGGGGATTGAACTCAGGGGCACTCAATCACTGAACCACATCCCCAGCACAATTTTATATATTATTTAGAGACAGGGTCTCACCGAGTTACCTATCGCCTTGCCATTGTTGAGGCTGGTTTTGAACTCGCGGACCTCCTGCTCAGCCTCGGGAGCCACTGGGATTACAGGCGTCAGCCAAATCTGCGCCCAGCATGTAATGCAAGTTTTTTTTTTTTTTAATATCTATTAAAAATTTCTTAGGAGGCTGGGAGTGGTAGAGCACTTGGCTGGCATGCATAAGGTCCAGGTTTGAGCCCAGCACCACACACCCACACTAAAAATCTTAAGAAAAATGTAAGAACGTTTTGATTAATTAGGAATGTTATTGGTTTATTTTGCTGTCTAGTAATTGATTCTTCATATGGAAGGGTATTAAATGGAAACATTTGAGTTTAGACTATTTTAGTTAACCATTTATTTCTGTAATATTTATATATTAATATATTTTCCTTAAGGATTATAAAAAGCTACTGATTGAATTCAGCCAAAGATATGAATATGATCTTTGGAGACTGCAGAATGTAGTATATGAAGAACAGAGCAGAGGATGGACAACAAATTGAAAAATCTGGATGCTGGTCCATAAACTTTATTGTTGATAAATCAGATATGCTTCAAGACTCATTTCCTTCTATAATATTAAATATTGAAAGTGATTTCTTCTCAAGGTTTCTTTAGGCTCTAAATCTGTTTAATGTTTGTGGATTTTCCGTTTCAGCGTTTTCGTCAGATTGCCCAAAGGACCATCAGCACTGCTTCACGCAGACATTTTGAAAATAAAGTTCCAGAGAAACAAAAGCTGTTTCAGGTACTGAAATATTTTATAGGAGATTGTTACTTGTAGTAATTAGAGTACCAAAAAGTTGAAATGAGAAGTAAATCTGGAGAGTCTGCTGTAAGAGGTCCTCCTGTATTAGCAAAAGAATGATAAGAAATTGTTGGTAGCTAACTGAGCATTTGCTATACCCAAGAGGCCCTTGAGCAATTAGAAAAAAATGAGTGAAGAAAGGTATAGATCAATGATAAATTGTTTTGGAGGAGTTCATTAGCATTCTTTAGGGAGTAATTGCATAGGAGCATAAAGAGAGACCACAGAAAGGACCCAGAAACACAGCAAGTATTATATAGAAATTTAATATATGTTGAATGCTATAGCCACAGGAAAGGATGCAATAAATTAGTATTGACAAAAATAACTATTTTAAAGAAAGGAAGGTTAGATTCCTTCTACATAGTATACTAAGAAAATAAATTACATATGTAAATATTTTCCCTCAAAAAATTATATTTATAATCTTAGGGGAAGTCTTCTAAGTTAATCTTTATAAAACTGAGAAGCAGTAAAGAAGAAAAATTGCATGGTTTGGTGATTTAAAATTTATTTATAGTTAACCAAAGACAAGGCACAAATTGAGAGCAAAATGTCAAAATATAGCAAAAGGTTAATGCCCTTAATATACAAAGAACTTCTATGAATCAATAAGAAATACAGGTTTAATTCATCACAGCCACCAGCCAAGAAAGAGATGCATACTCCTTTGGAGCACTGGAATAGGTGCTAGGCACCATTTACCTTACTGCCTCTCTGCCGTAGTTGCATTCTAGATAGGTAGAAGCATTGTTGGCCATGGATTGTGCCTTTGCCTGGAAACAAAACATGGTCTGTCCTCTAGAGAATCACTATTGGTTGAGCGTGCCCTACCTAAACATGGAGTAGGAGTATTACTATGCTATGGTAGGTGGGACTCAGACCTTCGAAGTCATTTTCTTCCTCTCATAGATTTATTGTAGATCAGCTCAGTCATTTCAGTGTCACCAGGAAATTGTCTTGGCTTGGTGTGGTGGTTCACGCCTGTAGTCCCAGTAACCCCAGTAATTTAGGAGGCTGAGGCAGAAGGATTGTAAGTTTGAGTCCATCCTCAGCAATTTAGCAGAATAAAATAAAAAGGACTGGGGATGTGCCTCCATGACGAGTGACCCTGGGTTTAATTCTCAGTACCACAAAAAAAGAAAAAGAAAAAAAAAATGGTCCTATCCCTGAGCCCTCACCCCTCAGGTTGTGTAGTTCATGGGACTGCCCTAGTTTAACCTGTTCCTAGAACTGAAACAACAGTGGGTTCTATTAAAATAAACAAACATGAATTTAAAAAAATTAAAAATTGCTACTGCCCCCATCTGACTGGCAAGATTTTAGGAAACTTTGAAATAGGTTATGTTAACCAGGAATGGGAGATGTATGTATTCATCTACCATACCTTTATAATAGCAGTAAAGTTGGTACAAAAGTTTTAGAGGGTATATGAAAGTATTATTAAAAAGAAATTACATACCTTATCATCTAGGAAGCCTACTTTTAAGACTGTTTCCTTCAGAAATAATTGTGTAAGTATGTGAAAATGGGAGTGAGGATCTTAAGTTAGGGAGGAAAAAACCCTAAAACCTGACAACCTAAATATCCATTAAGAAGATTAACTAATTCAGGTTAAGATATTTTGGCATAGTGGAATACCATGTAGCCATTGAAAAGAATAAGATAGGTTTGAAGTACTGAGCAAAAAGAAATAGTGTATGGCAGATGGTTATATAGCATAACCTCATTTTGTGTGTTAAGTTTGTGTATAAGAATTAATGATGTAAGCATTAAAAGAGATCTATATCATACTGTGAATAGTGACTATCTCTTGGGAAAAGGCCTAGGGGAGTAGAACAATTTAACAGATTAGGAAAACAGAAAAGATTAACAAAATTGAGCTGTTAAGCAAACTTTCATTGCTTTTTTTTTTTTTTTTTTAACTAAGAAGAAAAATAAGACAAATAAATACAATCAGAAATTTAAAAAAGACATGACAACCGAGACCACATAAATGCAAAGGACCCTAAGAGACTACTTTGAAAAATTACATGACCACAGATTGGATAACCTAAAAGAAATGTATAAATTCCCAGATACACAGCCTATCATTTGAACCAGGAAGATGCAGAAAATATAAACAGACCAATGATAAGTATAGAGATTGACCCAATAATGAAAAGTCCACCATCAAAGAAATATTTGGGCCCTAATAGTTTCATTATTGAATTTTACCCAACATTTAAAGAACTAGTTGCCAATTCTCAAGTTGTAGAAGAACTGAGCAGGGCACAGTGGTGCACGCCTGTAATCCCAGCAGTGATAAAAAAAAAATGTGTATATCATACCACATAAAATTAAAATATTTTATTTAACAGATACACTGAATATCTATTCTGTGCCAGAAGCTGGAAGAGATGCTCGGCTTATAAAATTTAGGATTATAAACCAAAATCCCATGCCTGTCCCCTTTATTTTTTAGGATTAAAAATGTTTTTATTAGTATATTATAGTTCTACATAATATTGGCGTTCATTTTGACATAATCACACATGCGTGGAATTTGCTCCACTTTGCTCCTCTTTCCCTTCTCTCCTATTACTACTGGTTTTCCTCCCATTTATTTATACATATGTATATGTTTTTAAATTGGTCCTTTACTGATATACATAAAGTTGAAATTCACTAAGGTATATTCTTATATTTACATAGCCTACTTTAATTTGCTCAATTTCATATTGCCCTTCTTCCCTTTTCCAGCCCCCCCAACCCCACCCCCCTGCCAGTTCCCTTCCTCTTCTCCACTGATCTCCCTTCTATTTTCATGTAATCTTCCCCACTCCCCTTCCTTATTTTGTTTAGCTTCCACATATGAAAGAAAACATTCAGCCTTTGAATTTCTGAGTCTAGCTTCCATCCATTTCCATCCAGCAAATGACATAATTTCATTCTTTATGGCTGAGTAGAATTCCATTGAGAAATCTCCATACTGTTCTCCAAAGAGGCTGTGCTAATTTATAGTCCCAAGAATATATCAGTGAATTTTTTCCCCTACATCCTTGCCAGCATTTGTTGTTATTTGTGTTCTTTATGATTGCCATCCTAACTGGAGCAAGATAAAGTCCCAGTGTAGATTAGATTTGCATTTCCCTGATTGCTAGGGATGTTGAATTTTTTTTTTTTTTTTTATATATTTGTTGGCCATTTGTATTTCTTCTTTTGAGAAGTGTCTGTTTAGTTCTTTTGCCTGTTTGTTAATTGGGTTGGTTTCTTAGTGGTAAGTTTTTTGAGTTCTATATACTGGATATTATTTATCAGAGATCCCTGCTTCCACTTTTAAGAAGAACTTTCTACAACTAAATCTAAAATATGGTGATTAAAATAAGAAAGTTAACTTTAAGGAGTTCATATTTTAAAAATAGTAGCAGAGAATAATCAAAATTGGAGCCCTATTAGATTTGTGATATTTAAATATTTAAATTCCATGGTTTTAAGGAGTTGTTTCATTTTATATGAATGATTAATCTTTTGAAACTTAGTTGAAAACAAGAGACACATTTATTAATCTCTTTTTTCTTTTAACCTAGGAGGATAATGGAATTCCAGTGCATCTAAAGGGTGGAGTAGCTGATGCCCTGCTGTATAGAGCCACCATGGTTCTTACAGTTGGTGGTAAGACATTTGGAATATTTGATTGTTCATAGTTAAGTAATAGTAATGTTATCAGGAGGCTCTGGAGCTTGTTTTTTTGGCCAAAAAACATTCATTCTACATTCTATAGCAAGGGCTTTTGAATATTTTTACTGTGATGAATAACACATCTTAACTCATGCATACATATTTATGATGAAAACAAAACTATTATACAACAATATTTAATTTTTACTTATACAAAGTCCTATGATGATTTTTCAACATATTAGGCAGGTCCATTAGTTAATATGAGCAGGCATGTCACAAGTTGGTGTAGTAGGAGCATAGTTAGGAATTTGAATGATTGCTGTTTGGGGAAGGAAGGAAACAATATTTCTGTAGTTACTGTGTCTTCATCATTTTGATCAGAATGCCACATACTTGAATTTTTATAACCCTTGAATGGGGTCTTTCATGTGTCCTTATTTTAAGAATGAGAAAATTACATTAGTCATCCAAGATAACATTGCTTCTATGTGGAAAAGCTGGGATTTGAACTCTTAATTACAAAGTCCTTATGCTCATGCTAAGGTAACTTCTTTTAACTTGAATACATTTAAAAGTAGGTGGGGTATTTATGGATTAAGACAAAAACCAGTTAGTGACATTTGGATTTTCTTAATAAGATCATGTCCTATGTTCTTTTCAGAATATAATTATTTCTTAGACATTCTGGTAATAAGTTTTTAAAAATATAACTTCTTATATTAGCTGTTTTGTTATTTTAAAATCTCATTATTCATCTTTGGTTTTATGTCGATAACTTCAGGGAATACATGCATATTTTGACAGACACCTTCCTTTTTTTGTCTTTTGAATCATTTTTAGCATTTCTCAGGCAATGTTAGGTTAATATGGAAATAACCTTTATGTATATTCTTAGTCTCATTCTTAAAACAGTTTACATTTATTATTGACAGAATACATTTTTTAAAAACAGCCAACCTTTTTTTTTTAAATATTTAGTTTTTAGTTTTAGGTGGATACAATATCTTTATTTTACACTTATGTGGTGCTGAGGATTGAACCCAGTGCCTCGTGCATGCTTAGGTGAGCACTCCACCACTGAGCCACAACCTCAGTCTCAGCCAACCTTTTTTTAAATATTTATTTTTTAGTTAGGGTGAACACAATCTCTTTATTTTATTTTTATGTGGTGCCGAGGATTGAACCCAGTTCCTCACACATGCTTGGTGAGCACTCTACCTGTGAGCCACAACCTCAGCCCAAGAACATATTTTTGTATAGAAGTTAATATTAAAACTAATGAAATGTATTTTACATATATTTATTTTAAAATTTTGCCAGTATCAATCAAAATACATTAATGTAATCTTAATGCCATCTTTGCCATATAATTTTTGAGCTGGAATGTGAAGCTTACATTGATTTAAATTCAGAATTTCTTGTAAGTTGTTTTGTTTGTTTTTCAGGAACAGCTTATGCCATATATGAGTTGGCCAAGGCTTCTTTTCCCAAGAAGCAGGATTGACTTCAGTCTTCTCAGCAATCATTTGGTTCAGTTTAATTCAGCTCTCTATGGACCAGTACTCTGATAAATAACAGAGCTCTTCTTTGGGGATCAATATTTATTAACTTGTACTAACTGCCACCAATAAAGCAGTCTTTACCATGCTTTGTCTTGTTTTTATGACTTAAGGGTAAATTACACCAATAATCCAGGTTTTGATTAGCACTTACAAATCTTAGGTAAGAAGCAAAAAAATGATTCTTTTGTCCTTAAGCTTGTATAGATCACCATTCATTTGATGGTATTATAGTGAAGTTTTGCTTTTAGCACCTGAGAACTATACAGTGAATGGTCTTAATTTCAGTTAAGCCTAACACTTTCAAGCATATTGCTTTCTTTTTTTCCCCCTTCTGCTGGAACCTGGGCATAGTAGAATCAAATTATATTTGGACCCTAGGATCTTAAGTTTGTTTTATGTCAGAGTGTGTTTAAATATTGTATGTATTCCATGGTTTAGACTTGGGCTTTAATAGAATGACTGTAAAAGAATTTAGGATTTTTTTCTCATACTCAGAATTGGTTTTTACTATGTTAATCTATGATATTAAGTATAAAGTAGTTTGTTTCCAAAAGTTATCTTCTGAAGGAACATAGGGAGTCAAAGTTTGTTATAGTCTCCTCTGCAAGGTATAGATTTGTAGTACTAAATGAAATTGGGATTTAGTTGAGTCTGGGGGAAAGCTACGAGGAAGAGCTTTATATTAAGAAAAATATGTTTGGAAAAATTGAGTCATTTTTTGTTATTAAAACATTGATGCTTATGGTACAGATCTTAAGAGAGTAACCAATTACAAATTTTTAGCGTTAAACCTCTGAGGTTGAAAGGATTTGGGTGGCCAATTTTCTGCCTGCATACTTTTGAGGGGAGTGGAATAAACATGGTTAGACATGTGTAAAAACTGAAGAAGTTGCAAAATTGGGCTGGAATTTGAGCTAATTCAGTACTCAAGAGCAAAAAAGTAATCAGTGATAATATTTTGAAATAAACTACAGTATTTTATAAAGAAAAATTTAACTTTTGTGAATGTGATTTAAAATTTTTTAATGATGTAATGTGAAGGACACTTGTGGGAAAGAAAAACAGCTTGATTATTCTGTATAACCTTCATCTCTTGAAAATGTGACAGGTGCTTTACTATATATCTGGCTTAAACCAGTAAAACAATATATAAAATACTTCTAGTAAGTTTTTTTTATGCCAAAATATTCTTTTTGGGCTATGTTAGCATATGTTAGCATCGATAGGATTAGGTAAACTTAAGTGTTGAAGAGACTTAAAAAATCTTAGGCTAACTACTTGCCCTTCACCTTAAAATTCTGCATTGTAAGCATAGGTAGAGTTGGAGGTAAGGGTGAAGGGCAAGATCCCAGAAGTGGTTGCTAGACAGAATCCCATGTAAATGTCTGCTCACTTCATAGCATTCAGAAAGAGAACTACTATTGATACATTTTAGAGATTAGCCCAGAATCCATGAAAGGAGTCTGTAAGTTGTGCCGCAGTCTGGCTGGGCACAAAATAACCGGGCCACCACAAAAGCCTTGTAGATTCAAACAGCAGCTCTTTATTCCGGAACTGTCACCGGCACTCTACACGCACGTTCTGGGGAAAATACACTGCCTCTACCAGGCTCCGTGCACCAATTCTCTCAGAACTCCGCAAGAACTCAAAGGGAACTCCAGGAGCAGGTGCCTGAGGCAGCAGGATACGCCCTAAACCCAGAGCCACCCTAATCCCTGAGCAGGGTCACCTTTCAACCGAAACTATCAAACATTCATGCAGTGTCACTGCAAATGACCTGGGTCCAAGGCAAGCCCATTTCCACAATGGAGAGTCCTCCCTCTAAGCAACATTGGGTAGGCTGACAAGGAAATTGCCATGCGTCATTCCTACTTGGCTATGGCTCTCAGCAAAGTTGTATTGAAAAATGCAGGAAGCAATGACCATTGTTACAATCTCAAATCGATCCTTTTGGGTTCATAAGCATGATGATTGGGTGTTCATACTGTATGTTTTGAGATTTGCCTCCCTCCAAATCTTGTTAAGATGTCAGCACCTTACCTGTCTGATGTAAAAAAAAAAAAAAATTAAAAATCTCAAGTCTTTCCAGTATATCATCTTACCAGTTTGATTAAATATTGACTGGGCTGTGTTGATAGTTCACTGTTAATAGCAATGTGTGCAAATATGAAAACGTAGAGACTCCTGTCTCCCTGTGCAGTCTCTTTAAAAGAGTGGTTAGTACTGTTTCCAGTGCCATCATTCAGTTTTTCATTGATCTCTAATTGGATGTCTGCCCTACCTGTAGAGCCTTATCTCTTCTTCCATCTTGTATTTGAAATGCAGTCTCAGTACTGTCACCACTGAGACTTCTTTCTGGTGCATACCATCCTTATTTTTTCTCACACACTTGGGGATGCTCCCCAGATTGTACTGTAAACTTGGGCTCCTCCCATGTTTCAACATGCACCAAGTGTTCCCTGTACTCATTTCCATCAAGAGTTTTCATCCCTTTGAATTAGAATTGACGAGACCAGAAACCATTGTAACTGGTTAGTTTCAAACCTTGGAATTCCCTAAGTAGGTAACCTTGCTAAGTCTTTTCCTCATCAGTATAGGCCTGACACATTCAGTATAGGCCTGACATATCCCAGGTGTGCATGGTGTGTGTGTATGTGTGTATAAATAATTTGTGTGTGTGTGTGTGTGTGTGTGTGTGTGTATGGTACTGGGGATTAAATCCAGAGATGGTTCTACCACAACACTACATCTCCAACCCTTGTTATTTTTTATTTTGAGACAAGATCTCAATAACTTGCCCACACCAATCTCAAACTTGTGCACCTGCCTCAGGTTCTTAAGTGGCTGGAATTGTAGGTGTCGGCCACTGCATCCTGCTAAACATTTGATACTCCTATTAACTCTGAAAGCAGGAACCACATCTTTTCATCTTATTCTATCAGCTTGACACAGCAGAGCTCTCAATTATAGTAAGGTCTGGTAGTTCCGGTTCACAGTTTAATTCACATACTAGATTCCTTTTGTCTTTTGGCTCTGCTGTTCGTAGTTTATGGTGTTCATCCTCATTGTGAGATGGATGTTTAATTCCAGCTATCTTATTCATGTTCTAGCATGAAGAAGGAAGGGTGAGGAGTGCATGCTAAATAAATGAGCTTTTTTTAAAAGCCCAACACAGACTTCAGCTTTTATCTCTTGGGCTGTAGCTTTGTAACATGATCATGCCTGGATTCAAGGACGCTAAGCAAAATTGGAATTTGGTTTAATGAGACCTGGAGGTTGTTTGGCTGGCAATTAGCAATCTTTGTGGAGCTTGTTTGTTTTTTAAAAGAATGTAATCAACATGTGGAGGAGGCAAGACCTTGCGGCATTTTGGGTCCTAGCTCCACTCATTTCTGATTCCAGAACCAATGCCTGCTCTTATGGCTTGTTGGATTCCATTGGCCAGTAATGTTTCCCTTGTACATTGAATTACTACAGTGAGGTTTTTCTAGTCACGAATCAACCAAAACAGAATTTTCTGGACTTTGTAGCTATTCTATCTAAAGGAACTCTACCAGTTACACTAAATAGTGTTCAGTGCTCAATAAATGATAGTCATTGGTTTCTCAAAACAGGAATGGTTTGAAAATATATATAGGGCCTATAATGTATAGGTGACAATTATTTGGAGAAAGAACAACATCTGGGAATCTATTCAATTTTAGGGATCTAAAGAATAAAATTTCCTATAAATGATGCCATTAAAAAATGAACATATAGCTATTTAAATGTAAGTGAAAACTGTTTAATCATTTTAGAGCGATCAAAATACACTATAAGATTGATATTTAGGTGTCTGAAAGCAATCATTTTACCATATGCACTTTAATCTTTTATATTATCCATTTAAAGTTGATGGTTAATCTAAAAACTGCATTTTAATCAAAGTTGTTTTCAAACATTGTAATAATGTCGCTTTGAAGAGTCATATCAATGGTACCAGCCATTGCTTCTCTCCTCCTTCGTTCTTGTTCTTTCTCCCTTGCTAAATTATGGTCTTTGAGAAGCCACAGCTTGCATTTATCTTGAGCATCCAATGACTGCTGATGTTCTTTCTGCTCTTCTCCATTGCATTTGTTTTGCATTTTATTTGAAAAAGATTCTAGAGTCAATCCATTTCCAAGGTCCCTCTGAGCAATGAAAATCCAAAAGAGATAATCCCTGATTGTTTTTTTTTAAATGAGGAATATGTAGAAGTGTATCAAAAACATAGTTCCTGTTGAGATTTTTAATTTTAAATAAATATTTGCCTGCTTTTAAAAATATTTAGAGCTTCTATGCCAGGCATGGTGGTGCACACCTGTAATCCCAGCTGTTTGGGAGGCTGAGGCTGGAGGATCATGAGTTCAGGGCTAGTCTTGGCAACATAGCAAGACTGTCTCAAAATTAAAAGTATTCAAAAGGTCTAAGAGTGTAGTTCACTGATAGAATGCCTTTGGGTTTTATCCCTAGTAGCCATCCCTCCAAAAAGAAATACTTAGAGCTTCTAATAAATAATATTTGAGTATCAGGTTTTATAAGGTTTTCTGCTGATTCTGTATTCAAAATTTATACTGAATTTAATTTAAATAAATATTACCTATGGCTTGAAAGATGTTGAATTTGGCCAAATATCAGTAAATATTATGTATGCGAGTTTCTGTAGGAATTTATCAGATATTTATTAATATGTATAAGTGATAGCAATGAATGTTTAATTTTACTTAACTATAGAAAGTATTATTTAACTATTCTGTAAAATATTTTTGTTTTGTCATTTTCAAGTTGTATAAATCATGTGTATTAGCTTCATGTATTTTAAATGTTTGGACTCTTGAAGTGTAACACAATTCGGGCACTATTTGATACCATCTAAAGTAAAATTCGAAGTGTGTATGTATTTTATAAAGAATAAGAAAGTTAAACAAAGAAAAAAGAAAAAAAATATATATATAGAACACAAAATGCAATTGAACAGAGAATACATATACAAATTATGGAAACAAGAATTAGGATACAGCTATAGACAGTTTTGTCAGTTCAAAACCCTGCTATGACATAGCTGGA